ATGATTATTTTTTTTTAATTTTATTTGCTTTTGGATTATATTGGCTAGGATTTTGTTAAGGGTTTTTGTGTCTATATTCATGACAGATATTGGTCTGTGTTTTTGGGGATTTTGTTGTTGTTGTTGTTGTTGTTTTAATATCTTTGCCTGATTTTGGTATTAAGATTATGCTTGCTTCATAGGATGATTCTGGGAGTGTTCCTTCTTTTTCTACTTTTTTTTAAAAATAGCTTAAGTAGGATTGGTGATAAACTTCTTTGAATGTTTGGTGGAATTTAACTGTGAAGCCTTCAGGTTCACTTTTTCTGTAGGGAAGTCTTTTTGTGACCTGCTCGATTTAGTCTATTGTGGTGGGTCTGTTCAACTTTTCTACATTTGTCCATGTCAATATGGGAAGGGCATGAGCTTCACAGAATTTATCCATTTCCTCTAAGTTTTTAATTTATTATAGTATAGCTCTTCATAAATATTCAATATTGTAGATATCATTTCCTCTGGTTCTGTTGTGATGTCACCCCTATCATTCCTTAGTTGGGTTATTTGTGTCTTCTCCTTTTCCCCCCCTTCTGTTGAGTTTGCCAATGGTTTGTCAATTTTATTGACCCTTTTAAAAAGAACAGTTCCTGGTCTTATTGACATTTTCAATTCTTCTTCTATCTCATTGATAGCAGCTCTTGTTCTTGTAATTTCCTTTTTTTTTTTTTCCTTGAGGGTGTGGGGTTAGATTGTTGTTTTGAGATTTTTTTTGTATTTGATGAAAATATTGATTTAGATCATTAATTTTTCTTCTTTCTTGTGTTCTATATGTGTGCCTATTACTATGAACTGCCCCCGAGGACTACCTTAGCTGCATCCCAGAAGTTTCTGTACATTGCTGTATTTTTCATTATCATTTGTTTCAAGGAGTTTCCCCACCCCCATTTTTTATTTCTTCTGTAATGAAATAATGTTCTAGCAGGGTGTTATTTTGCTTCCACCTTTGTAGCTTTAAAAGCATTAGCCTCTTGTGGTTAATTTTTTAATTTTACGGCACTGTGGTCTGAGAGGATACTTTGTTTTATTTCAGTGTTTTTTAATCTGTTGAGGCTTACTTTGTGCCCTAATATGTGATTGATTTTGGAGAATGTATCATGTGTACTTGAGAAGAAAAGAAACTGAGTTTTATTTGGTTCAGTACTTAGAATATATCCTCAAGGTTGAGTTGGCTGAGTGTGTTGTTTAGATTTTCTGCATTTTGTTACATCTCTTTTGAGTTGAACTATCCTTTGGTGAGAGTGGTGTGTTAGTCTCCTACCAGTATTGTGGTGCTGTCTATTTCTTTCTTCAAATCTGTTAATAGTTGTTTTATGTATTTGGCAGATCTATCATTTGGTGCATAGATGTTGACCAATGTTATGTCTTCCTGGTCTACTCTGCCTTTAATCAGTATGTAATATCCTTTCTTATCGTGGTGGTTTTATGATGGTTTCATTCTGAAGTCTATTTTGTCAGAGATGTGTACTGCTTCTCCTGCTTTTATATGGATGCAATTTGCTTGGTATGTTTTTACCCAGGCTTTTGTTTTGACTCTTTCTCTTTGTTCCTTGGATGTATCACTTGTAAATAACATATTGATGCACTTTGATTTTGGATTTTGGTGTGGTGTTTTTTTTTTTTATCCTTTATGCTACTCTTTTTCTCTTGATTGATGCATTTAGTACATTCACATTAATTGAGATTATTGACAGGCTAGTTTTTATCATTGCCATTTTGCTGTGTTTCTTTTTTTGTTGTTTCTTGTTACTATGATCCATCCACTTTCCTTTTACTGTTTCTATATGAAGGACTTCCCTTAAAAGTTCTTATAGTTTTGATCTTGTTTTCACAAATTCCTTAAGTTCTATCTTTTCTGTAAAGCATTTGATTTCTCCTTTATATTTGATGGAGAGCTTTACTGCTTACAGGATCCTTGGATGGTAATTGTTTTCTTTCAACTTCCTGTGTATGCCATTCCATTGTGTTCTTGCTTTCATGGTTTCTGCTGAAAAAATTAGAATTTAATCTTACTGATTTTCTTTGGAGGTGACTGTTTTTCTTGTGCTGTTTTCAGTATTCTATCCTTATCTTTTGTTGTTGTTATGTGCCACGGAGTCGCTTGTGACTCAGAGCAACCCTATGTAAAACAGCCCTAAACCCTGTTCTATCCTGTGCAAATCTTATTGTCTCTGACACATATACAACCTTTACCCCAATCAATGAATCAATCCATCTAATCTAGGGTCTTCCTTTCTTGTGATGTTCCTCACCCTCCTAAGCACGATGTCCCTCTCCAAGGAGTAGTCCTGCCTTGCAACATGTCCAAAGTATGTTAGATGAAGCTTCAGAATCCTTGCCTCCAAGGAGCAGCCTGATTTCACCCTCTTTAGGACAAATTTGTTTGTTCTCCTAGCAGTCTACGGTACAGTCAATACTCTTCTCCAGCACCACTGCAGCTCAAAGGCATCAATTCTCCTTCTGTCATCCCTAGTCATTGTCAAGCCTTCTGATACATAGCAAGTAATTGCAAAGACCATGGCCTGGATCAGGTGTACCTTAGTCTTCAGGCTAACATTGTTGCTCTTCATTACTTTGGAGAAGTATCTGTTAGCAGACTCTTCCAATGCAATTTGTCTTTTTATTTTCTGGCTGATGGTACCAAGAGTATTGATTGTAGAGCTAAGTAAACTAAAGCTGTTAACAATTTCAATCTCTTCACCATCTATCATGATGCTGCCAATCGGCCCAGTGGTGAGAATCTTTGTTTTCTTGATGTTGACTTTCAATCCATATTGAAGGCTAAAGTCCTTAATTTTCCACAGCAAGCGCTTCAGGTCCTTTCTCAGTTTCAGCAAGCAGTGTTGTATCATCTGCATAATGTAGATTGTTGATGAATCTACCTTCAATCCTGATGCCACAATTCTCCTCATAGAGCCCAGCCTCCCAGATAATTTGTTCCGTATATAGAATTTGATTATGATATGTTTTGATGTTTTTATTTTTGGGTCTAGTCTATTCGGTGTTCACTGAGCTTCTTGAAAGTTGATTTCCTCATTATTCATAATACCTGGTAAGTTTTCTTCTAGTACATTTTTCACAGTTTTGTCAATGATTTTCCTGTCCTCATATTCTGAAATTCCAATCATATATATAGTGTTCCTTTTGATGTCATCCCACATGATTTTAATGTCTTACTAATTTTCTTTATGTTTCAGCTCTGATTTTTCTTCTAATATGTTTCTGTTGAGGTTTTTATCTTCCAATTCATTGATCTGTGCTCCATCTCTTCTGTTCTACTTGTTTGTTCCTCCAGCATGTAGGACACATCTACCATTTCAGTCTTAACATTCTGGATTGCTTTTTTATATATTTCTGTTGTTTCTAGTACTGTGTTGGCTGTACCCTCTCTATATTGTGATGATTTTTTTAAGTTCTTTTGCCTCTTTATAGTTTCAATTCTTTCTTCTATATTTTGCATTTTCTTCTGTAGTTTTACAAGTTCCTCCTCTTCACTATATTTCTTCTGGCTCCATGGATCTGGAGTGTTTGCTTTCATGGTGATTTCCATTGTTTCTTCCATCTCTTGCACCTTCTTTTGTAGAAGTTCAGATAACTCTTCAATATATTTCTTCTGATTTTCTACCTTTAGGTTATTCCCTTTATTTGTTGCTTTCATTGTTTCTTCCACTGTCTGTACTTTTCCTCCATAGACGACTGAATGTTTCCATATCAACATATATCATCTGCATTCTTTACTCTAGCGTATTCATTGAGTTTGCAAGATTCTCTGCTTTTTTTTTAAGAAGGCTTAATTTGTGTTTTCATGATGTTTGAAGCTGTCTGGTGCTTCCTTGACAGTATGTGAAGTTTCTCTTGATAAACATTAGGTCTTTTCTATTGTGTCTGCATGAGTTGTCAGTCATTCTTTTCTTTATGGTGTTATTGATTAGTTGCTAGGTTAGAATGCTCAATCTATAGAGTGATCCACTCATACTATTGGAAGTCTTTCCTGGGAAATTTGCCTTCCGTAAGGCTCTACAGGCTCTCTCTGTTATGCACAGAAACTCTCCAGTAATCTTGCCTTAATGCAGCCCCTGTCCCAAACTCTATTGTCCTCCTTCATCTATGGAGTAGCCAAATGGTATGAAACTAGGTGCATCACTTGAGCATAGTTTCTTTCTAGGGTGATTTCAAGTCAGCTTTATTTTTTGCAGCTCGATGTGTCAATTGATAAAGCTGAAAAAGTCTTTTCCCTTCTTGTGGCTCTGTGTCCCAAACTCTGTTATCCTGTTTGGTCCCTGGGATGTCCCCACTGCCATGGAGGCAAGGATTCACAATTGGAGTGACCTATCTCTGGGGAGGGTTCAGTCCCTTTTCCTACAAGCACCCCAAAGGGCTTGCTCTGGTGCTCTCTCTTCTGAAGCTTAATATCTTCCTTTTCCTTGGGGTGGCAAGAGATTAGTGCTGTCAATTGACACAGTTTGCATACAAGGAGGTCTTAAATGAGGTGGTGATGCAGGTGACACATCACAGCCAGGCAATGTGGTACAGACCAGCAATGTGCATGTGGCACAGCTGTAATATTTCTTGACCAGAATAAATTTGTGAGATTCAAATGTATTTAGAGTTTTGATGAGATCAAAAGACAAAAACAATGAAAATGAATATCTCTTTATTTGCATGTTAACAAATGAGAGTTCAGTTTTCCCTTTATTATCAGTTACAAAACATCATAGTCTACACCAAAGTATGCAGTATGTGGACTGAAGCTTACTTGAGTTATCAGAGAAAAGAGAACTATTTTCACAGGGAAATCTATAAATGTATTCATTAGTTCACCTTGCTGTTTGCTGGTTGGATAATGAGCGTGAGATTTGAAAGATATATATTTCTGGAGAATATTATATAATTATATAATCTATATCTCAGTCAACTCAACATCATATAACAACACTCTCTGTCTCTGTCTCTCTCTCTCTATCGACATGATAACTGTCTCACAGATCATACTTGGATTCATTGTAAGTACTGAAATTGTATTTGGAAATTTTGGGAATGGATTGATAGTACTTGTGAACTGTGCTGGCTGGGTCAAGAAAAGAAAAATTTCTTCAGCTGATAAAATTCTCACTGCTTTGGCAATCTCCAGGATTTTTCACCTCTGGGTAATGCTTACATATCTTTACATATCTATTTTTGATGTAGATTTATTTTTAGATAAAACGTGTTTGATAATAAGTTGTAACGCCTGGACAGTAAGCAATCATTTTAGTCTATGGTTTGCTACAAATCTCAGTATCTTTTATTTTCTCAAAATAGCCACTTTCTCTAACCCTATTTTTCTCTACCTAAAATGGAGAGTTAAGAAGACTATTTCATTCTTATTTCTGATGGTCTTGCTCTTCTGGTGTTTTAATACTGCACTGATAAACATACAACTTAATATCTGGATTAATGAACATGAAAAAAACATGACTTACAGTTTAATGGGAAGTGACTTTGCACAGTTTGCAAGTCTTACTGTCTGGATTATAGCTATTTTCACTTCCATACCCTTTACTGTGTCCCTGATAACATTTCTCCTGCTGATATTCTCCTTGTGGAAACATCATAAGAAGATGACACTCAATGGAAAAGGACACAGAGATGTCAGCAGCAAGGCCCACATAAAAGCTATGCAAACTGTGATCTCCTTCCTCTTACTATATGCAGTTTTTTTCCTGTCTTACTTCATACCTGTTTGGAGATTTCACAGTCAGAAAAGAATCATTCTTTCTATATTGAGCCAAGTTCTTGCACTTTTTTATCCTTCAGGTCACTCGATTTTGTTGATTCTGGGAAACAAAAAGCTAAGGCAAGCCTCTCTTTTGGTATTATGGCCACTTAGGTGCAAGTTCAGGGACTTTCAGTTTCATAAACTATTTAAGTGATTGTCTTGCGTATTCTAGAGTTAAAAAGGTTGATAAATTCTTATCAAATAGTTTATACTTGTCAAATGTTCTTTTGTTATGTTCAAGTTCTTGAATTTTATAAAAGCTTTTCTAGAACATATATTACTGAAACATGCTACAACTTAACAATGTATGATTTTTGTTGTTGTTGTTATGTGCCATTGAGTCATCTGTGACCCACAGTGACCCTATGTACAGCAGCTCTTAAGCCTGCTCTATCCTGAGCCTGTATCAACTGACTTAAACACACGTGCCCCCATTACACTAGTTACTGTATCAATCCATCTCATCCAAGGTTCCAAGGATGATGTCATTCTCCAAGGACTAGGCCCTCTTGGCCATTGCCCAATGTATGTGAGACAGAGCGTCAACATCCTAACCTCCAAGGAGAAAATTGGTTTCACCGTCTCCAAGACATATCTATTTGTTTTCTTGGTGGTCTATGGTATGTTCAAGACTCATCTCCAGCACCACTCAAAGGTATCAATTCTTCTTCTCTCATCATTAGTCTTTGTCCAGCTCTTCGATGCATAGAAGTAATTGTGAAGACCACAGCCTGGATCAGGCACACTTTAGCCTCTAGACTGATATCATTGCTTCTCAGTACTCTGGACTGGTCCCTAACAGCAGATTTTCTTCATCTTGTGATTTCCTGATTGCTGGTGCCAAGAGTGTTGATCGTGGAGCAAAACAAACTGTAACTAATAACAACTTCAATCTCTTCAGTGGTAAGAATTTTCGTCTTCTTGGTGTTGAGCTTCAATCCATATTGAAGACTACAATCCTTAACTTTCTGAAGCAAGTGCTTCAGGTCCTCTTCAGTCATTGCCCAGCTCTTTAATGCATAGCAAGTAGTTTTGAAGACCATGGCCTGGATTAGGAACACCTTAGTCTCTAGACTAATATCATTGCTTCTCAGAACTCTGGAGAGGTCCGTAACAGCAGATTTTCCCAATGCAATTTGGTTTTTTATTTCCTGACTACTGGTGGCAAGAGTGTTGATTGTGGAACCAAAGAAGCTGCCATTTGGCCCAGTGGTGAGAATCTTTTTCTTCTTGATGTTGAGCTTCAATCCATAATAAAAACTACAGTTCTTGACTTTCTGTAGCAGTGTGTCAGGTCCTTCTCAGTTTTAGAAAGCAAGGTTGTGTCACCTGCATCAAGTAGGTTGTTGATACATTTTCCTCCAATCCTGATGACACATTCTTCCTCATAAAGCCCAGTCTCTCAAATGATCTTTTCTGCATATAGCTTGAAAAGATATGCAGACAGAACACATTCCTGACTCACTCCTTTCCTGATTTTGAACCATGCAGTGTTTTCTTGCTCAGTTGTGATGACTTCTTCCTGGTCTGAGTATAGGTTTTCATGAGTACAATTAATTGTTCTGTGATTCCCATTCTGCTCAAAGTTAGCTTTTGCTTTTTTGTGATCCACATGAAAAATAAGAGGATCATCTCTGAGTAATCAATAATTTATGGTTTTAAAACAACTTTGTATTGAGAAGCTAAAGAGAGAATAAGAAAATAAGAGCCATTTAAAGATAACATGAAAGAAACATGATCATAAAAGATTGTTACTAATTTGAAATTTTCAGTGATTATTTCTTTGAAAGATTGGTATTATGATAAATAACACCAGTTATTTATTATGACAGCATCATTTATCCAATAAATACTGAACAGACACAATTTTAAATATTGGGAATACAGAAATGAATAAATGAGTAATCTGATACATATGTATACACAACACCCAAATTAACTTTTGTTCTAAAAATATGCTTTTTAGTACCTTATCTGTTTACTGTCAACTGGAAAACACTATTGGATATTTTTTTTAATTCAGTATTGAAGAGACAGAGCCCTTTTCCTTATATTATTTCTACTTTTTTGAGAGGTACTGGCAAAAAATATAAATAGGTATTAACTTCCTATAGGAATCTCATTGTCCAATCTAGTCTTTTCAGAAAAGGAAAGGATTCCTGTGGCATGACCTCTGGAGTCAAAATACTCCGATGAATTTATTTTCAATTTCTGAACATCACTCTTGATGTGATCTCTCTTTTGGTATTAGAAATAGGTTCCATTCTTCCTTATCACAAGACATCCCACGTAAGATTGTTAAAGAAATTATAATAAATAATTTCAAATTTTTGCATTATTTTCCACATAATAACATGAGAAACATAAAACTCTATTCTTGACATTGTTGTTGTTGTTAGGTGCCACCAAGTCAAGTATAACTCCTTATGGGCAAAAGATCTGAATCCTCTTTTATCCTGTGCCAGCCTCACACTTCCTGACACACAAGAGCCCATTGCACCAGTCACCATGTCAATCCCCCTGGTTGAGGGTCTTCCTCTCCTTAACCAGTCCTCCACCCTTCCCAACATCATGTCTTTGTCCAAGGAATACCCCCTCCTAGTAATATGTCCAAAGTATGTGAGGTGAAACCTCATCATTCTTGCCTCCAAAGATCCCTCTCCAAGATATTCATTCTCTTGACCATCGATGGAATGTACAGTACTCTTCTTCAAGACCACAGCTTAAATTTATCAATTTCCCCCCTGTCATCCTTATTTATTGTCCAGCTCTCAGATGCATAGAAAGTAACTGGAAAGACTATGTTCTGAATCGGATGCACCTTAGTGTTCAAACTGACATCCCTACTCTTCAATAATTTTGAAAGTTCCTTAACTGTAGATTTTCCCAGTGTAACTGCTGGTACCAAGGATATTAATTGTGGACCCAAGGAAGATTAAGCTATTGACAGTTTCAATTTTCCTTTCTTAGAATTGCTCAAATTGTACTATTACTTTCCCCTAGCATCATCATTACACTCATTTCTTCTGTAGTGATGCTTAGGAAAACACCTAACAATAACAACATATAGGAAAATTTGAAATTCCTTCTTGTTCCTTGAGAACTGTTAAAATGGCAGAAAATTGTTTGGCATACTTCTGAATAGCAAGGTTGATATCTTTGAACTAGTCAGCAAACTATATTACCAGATATGTTTTCGTTTGCAGTGAAACTGAATTTATGCAATCAGCAGGACTGAAGATAAGTCTTGGCTTTCAGTTTATTAATTTAGCACATATATAAATATATCTCCGTTTCCTCTCCTACCTAGAAATTAAGTTCTGTAGTATCAGTAATCTTGTTTGCCCTCCCCCCCACACACACAAGTAATAAGGAGACTGCTCAGCAAAAAATTTTTGTTTTTTAATGCACCATGTTAGGAATTAAGGTAAAGCAAAGTCATATAAAATAAAAAGGTTTATGCTCATAATACCAATTTCTTTCCACCAGGAAGAATTTTCCAGTGCTAGTATGTCAATCTTCATTAAAGTAGGAATTTCCATGAAAATATAAGGAATATAAGAAACATCAAGAAGACTTGGCTCACAGCTACATCAGCCTAGGGAAAAAGTTAGATAAAGTATCTATCTGTATCTATACTGAATGCTTTGAATTTTTTCTATGTCAATTGGCATGTGATTAATATGTAGAGAAGATAAAAAAATATGTAGAGAAGATAACTGATTTTTTAAAGTGGATATAAATGACTTTATTAAACTGTGATGTCTGTGTTTTAAACTGATTCCCTTGACTTTTGCAGATAGAAAATGATATCCATACAATAATTATTTCACTTATTTTTAATTATAATTTTGTATTTGGCTATTTGTGTTGACATACTATTAAATGATTCAATTACTTGAAATGTTAAGTAATTGTGGAAATAATTATTTTTGTTTGTAAGTAAGGCTAATTTAGCATTTTATCAATTAACATAATACTGATGTGGCTTCAAAAGAAACATTTAAAAAATAATCCTAAGAGAAAATTATTTTCTTCCTCTCTTTCTTAGTGGTACTCTAGTAAGGTAATTTATTAAGATTATCATGTATTTTATTCTCTGATTTATTAAAATAATAATATATGCAAATAGTTGTACAATAAAATGATATCTCTCCAAGAATGTTTAATAGAATATAACAATTAGAACATTATTTAAATGTTCTATAATAAAATTGTGGCCATCCAAGGAAAGCTGAAATTGAAAAAGAAATAATGTAATGATGACAGCCACTATAAAATGAGGGAAGAAAATGAATCTTAATAACTTGTGAAATCTTATTTTAGAAATTATATACCAAATGCTAATTTATTAGTATTTTCAAAGTGTTAAATTATTTGATTATATTCTTTATATTGGACTAAATCTAAGGTTTGAATTAAATAATATAATGTTCCATCCAAAGAAGACTGGGACTATTTACTATACACAACTCCTCACTGAAAGTGCAACTAATATGTTTGTTTAATTTAGATGAAAGATAAATCATAAGGAGAGGATTAGGATGGAAGAAGCAATGTTATAACAATTAAATGTTTAGATATGTTGAGAAAGTAAGTATTGACTTATATATCAGATATAATAAAAATGAGCAGTTAATAGTTTAAAGGAGGCAATATGGTGCTTTCTTAAAAAGTTGGAAATAGAAATACCATTTAACCCAATAATTCCACATTAGGAATATGCCCTAAAGACACCAGATCTGCCGCCTGAACAGATATATGCACACACATGTTTATTGCTGCATTATTCACAATAGCAAAGAGATGGAAACAATCCAAGTGCCCATCAACAAATGAATGGATAGAAAAACCATGATATATTCACACAATGGAATACTATGTAGCACTGAGAGACAAGGAACTCATAAAACATGACACAACATGGATGACTCTGGAGGATATTATGCTGAGTGAAATATCTCACTCACACAAGGACAACTATTGTATAACACCACTGTTATAAAACAGGATTGACATGGAGTTTGGGGGTAAACCAAGAAAAGAGG